ACTGTGGTCGTGATAATTGTAATGGTTGTCATGATTCAGTATTTACTGTCCAATATTTCTACCGTAACAGCGATATGAAAATTGAACATAAACCTTCAATAAAAATTAGATGCTCCACTATCTCAACACCAGCCGATCGTAGCAAAATCCCAGCCAAACTCCCCATCAACTCTAAAACCTATTTCAAATCAATCAAATTCTTACGTATATGTCCTCGGTACAATGGAGTAGGAATAGCAAATCGTGAATGGTTTACGATTAAATTCAGACGCTCGTTCGACATACAGACTGGTCTTCCAATGGAACCACCAAAGCCTCCAAAAGTATGCCACCCTTTAATCTGTTGTCAATGTGGAGACCTTGACGATAACTGTGAAACACCATTCAAACTATTCCGACAAGTTGACGCTTTCACTAAAGTAGGAGCTAAAGCTTACGCTGACGAGAAGCTTGAGGACTTTTTGTTAGTACATTTAAAAAAATTTCCAATAATCAGTAATTACAAGATTTATTTCTTTTTTTAAGTCGAATATTTTTAATTTCAGAAAGATGTATTGGGCGTCCGAGGAAGATGAGGGTCAAGCTAAGCAGTGGGAGTACAATCTGGTGTTATGACTAAAAGGTAAAAAAAAGGTTTTTGTATCCACCGAACTCATATTAAAAAAACACCATACACATACATATAAATTAAATTTGGTATTTATTTATTTATCTATTATAAAAAAAATTATGGGAGATATATTAACACATTACTTACAATAAATCACGTTTCTACACAAGAATTTTTTTTGCGAGCAACTAGTCTGACTACATTTATATTTACTACAAAGCTTAAGTTTTAAATTTGCATAGAAATTAATCACAATCTTGTCGTTTTTTAGTGTATTTCTACCAAATATTTTCATAAGTTGAGACATTGATACTCTACGTAACCTATGAAAATATAATAAAGACAATACATACCACAAACTTCACTGTACCAGTTCTGAACTGAACGTTTATTCTGAATTGGTTGTTTTTTAAGTACACAATTGAAATATTTTTTACTGTAAAATAGTAAACCTTTCCCAAAACTATCAAATACTTCAATTTTATATTCACTAGTAGCATAAACGAGAATCCAGTGACCCATTACAACTTTTGAGGTACTTGGTAACACATTACAAATAAAAATTTTTGGATAAATAGTAGACTTATATAATTCATGTTCCAGTTCATCAGATGATACTACACCAAAGGTTGAAATTTTATAAGGTGTAAGAATTAACTTCAAAGCACTGTACATTTGATTACTATTCATTTTATTGCAAAAGTCCTTGATTCTCAATTTCTACTTCTCTATACTTGTTAATTGTCATGAGATTCTGAGTCTGGGATAAAATTACGACAGTCACGGCTGCTGTAAGTTCTTGTGAAAAATCTAACTCTAGTTTAAATGTACCGTTGGTAGGATAAAAACTAGTCTCACTTTGAAAACTTTGAAGTTGAAACGCAAACAGTGTGTTACCATCGGTAAAGCTTGAACGATCCAACCCAATCGTCTTATTTTCAAGACTCAACCCGTCCAGAAAACTTTGAAAAGCTAACAAATACCGTGTAGAGAAAGCCAAGTTCAAGGAACGATATTCCAGAGGGATATTATTAATCGAGACAACAAAACGTGACAGGTTGAAGTTGTTGAAGTTGAACGGGTTCTTGCTATATTTCCCAGTAATTGATTCTGTAAACAAATTTTAAGAATATGTATAGAATGTGTTGCATGTTCGTAAGTGATTGAGTAATTACCTGTCTCAACTAGTCGTATAACAATTCGTTGAGGTAGTTGTACGGTTGAAAATATATTTTCTGTGACTGAAATTTTAGAACCCTTTGCTATTGACACAGTTTTTATTTCATTCCGAATTAACGGATACAGAGCTTTCTGCTTGTCAAGTATCTTCTCATGTAACTCGACCACTTTTGGTGATACCAATTGGTTTTTTATATAGAATACAGCTTCGTCAATTGAGATTTTATACTCGGCTGTGTCCACTGCTGACGCTAGAGTAAATCTAACCGGTGCACGTCTCAGTTTGATCTTAAAATCAACCAGAGGAAGAATCCACCTAGGTTGAAGGCAGACGTCGTCCATTATACGACCACATAATTCCACCGATTGACTTTTAGCAAGATAGGATTTTCTTGCAGCATAACCAGTATTGTCGTTGGATTGTCTGTCAGCATTAGTGTCACGAATATAAAGGGCGTTTTTTAATATTTCCTTCTTGTATGTTTCACTGTGGGATAGGTGGTTTAGCAAATATGCACAATAATGATAGAACGGTTTGGAGGATATTAATTTTCCATTCATGTAAACTTCAACCATGTCAAATAATGAATGGAGTAGGTAATTTGTACAGCTAAGGTCGACTCCTGTAGCAAGGTTTGTACCATCACTATTTAAAACTCGAATATTTAGGTACAAAAATGATTCCGCCAAATCCAAGTACACACCAGGAATCCCGCTAACCTTTAAAATATAATATAACGGTACTTGTACTATATACTTAGTATTGAAAATTATTTAGTTTAGTAAAGCTTACATTAAACTCAAGCGGCGCAGCAATTTCCTTTGTCGAAACTGTTGGAAAAACCGGAACATGATATGAATTAGATGTGGATACGTCGCTAGCATTTAACGTGAACAAATCCAAGTAGCTATTTACAGCTTTTAATGAACCGGCCGCCATTACTTCTTCTTTTTCTTCTTTCCACCCTTCTTTGTTTTCTTTCTTTTACCCCCTTTCCTTTTCGATTTTTGTTTCCGCTTTACCGAGGTTTTCTTTTTCTTCCACTTTCCTCCACAAACAGGACTCTTTGTTTTTCGTTTTCTTTTACCACCCTTTTTTACTAAACCCTCTCCTAATTGTGTTGACTTTTTTGTTTTGCGAACTCGTTTAGCTTTGACGGACTTAAAATCACCAAACTCTCGTTTCTTTGATGAACTTTCTCCAAAGTTGAAAGGGACAAGGTACGATGTTGTTTCACCAAGTAACCCTTCAGTCGGCATTGTGTTAAAAAGAAACACTTATCCTACAACGTTTTCAGTTTAATGTGGAGTAGACATGTAAACCCAGAGTTTTCATCAAACTGTACACTCTGTCCTGCTTCGTTTGTTACCCAAAGTCGTATTCGGTCAATGTTGGGAACGCATACGTTTACATACTGTAGAGGGTGGAAGGAGGAGCTTTGTAGGCCTACTGTGTTGTGGGGTTGCTCAAACACTTTTAGAATTTGTTTGTACTGACTACCAAATAACTGAGGTGGGACTAAATCACAATGTACTAAATACAGATTGTTGTTTTGATAAAGATCTATATTACTCAACTCAATATCCTGACCTGTAAGAGTGCGACCACTCATACCCAACATTGAAGAAATTCGTTCAGAAAATGTAAGCTGATACGAACCAGTGCTTGCATGAATTTTGTTAAAAACAGTACTTATTTCAACTCCGTCAGACGTTTCTTCTCCAGTATGAATAATCCCGGCGGTTTCTAATACTACATTAACTTCACTAACAAACCCAGCTACACTGAAAATACTAGGTTCTAAAATTGTATACACACTTACGGATCCAAGTTTTGATGTTATTGTTAGCAATGAATCATTCTTGTCACCATTTCCAAAGAATGAATCGATGGGTTTAAACCACACAGATGATAATGCCACTTCGAAGTGGTTCGATTCGAGTTGTAATGGTGTATACAAAGTATTATAAAAATCTGAAGTAGACAGAGATTCGTCAGATATTGTTTTATTACTCGAAACGTAAATAAAATAAGAATCAGTAGAAAAACTTTCGATACTCATTTTGTAACAGTTTGGATGACGTGGTGGATGAATGATGTGAAGGGAAGAGCGAATAATCGAGCGAGGGAGAAAGGGGCGGGAACCGGAAATAAAAAACGTTTTTTCGGACGGTGAACCGTGGTTGCTATGGTTACACGATGACTCAGTACGTTGGACTCGAGTTTGCACATGGTATTACATCTCCGGAGAAACGTTTTTGACCGTTATTTTACTAGGCTGTTGTACTTGACGAAACGCTTCCGTCTCCTTTTTCTGATTCCTCTTGTACGGGAAGCAACTCTTGTTCATAATATATTCCTGTTATGAATGAAAAGAATATGAACGTGTTCAACGTTGGACTACTAAATAGTTTTTACCAACAGACTCGTTGTTAGCATCTAAAACGACGTATGTAATCGGATCAGTTTGCTTGATCTCAGCAATATGTCCAATTTCCAATGACCATCGTGGAAAATAACTATAAAAAATGATGATTCACCTATTAAATCATAACATAGAAATTTTTATTATGAACAACCAACCCTTTTTCAAAAACAGGCTTCACAAGGCTCCACCGAACTTTTTGATTTACTTTGAACTTGGGTTCTGATTCTTTGGGAGGGTTTTCCAACAAATCTTTGTATAAGTTTCTAAATACCATGAACTGATTTGATTATTAGAAAATGCTTGCAATTTTCAAGTTAACAAACTTCTTACTTGATTTTCTGAATTAATACTGTTCGGGCTGAACCCTGTTGACCGATGCTTGGTATTGTTGTAGTTTGAAACGATATGCTGCAAATCTTTTATATATGTGTTGCTGTTTTTGTGATTAAATAATCTAATCAATTTACTCATCAATGTAGCATTTGCTCTTTCAACAATAGAACTCTTTCCATTTGTCGTATACCAGATCACATTTTTGACTTGAAGAATTCTTGTAATTTTTTGTTGACAAATTCTAACAAAACAAGACCAGAAATTATTGTCAATCGATAATAATAATGCATCTGATTTATTACCCTTCCCCAAATCTGAGAACACGTATTTAGGAATTGATGGAAGACGTTTAAATATCTTCTTGAACACCATCAATGTAGTGTCCGAATTTTTATTTTTCAGTGGTTCAACATACATTCGTTTTGAGAAGCAGTCAATAACGTTTAAAATGTAGCTAGAATATTTATTTTTATTTTATTTTATATTTGATTAAAGTATTTCAACATTTATGAAATGACAACTAACCTATAACCATTATTTTCATTTTTATATTGTAACAATGATATAAGATCAAAGGTGAGAATCCAATTAGGGAAATACGTCATAACTCGTCGTTTTCTGAATTTTTTTAATGCTGGTCGGTACAGATAATACTCAGGTAACTTTAGTAACTCTTTCTCCACATCTTTCTTGGAGAGTTTTAAATGTCTTTCGTTATAAAAATTATTTAATCCACTATAACTCCCACTCAATTTTGGGTTAAAATACAATCGTTTTATTTTGTCAGATGACATTATTATTTTTATTTACAAAAAAAATGAAAACAAGAAAACATTCTACAACTAGATACAGTCAGAGTGTGAATAACTTCAAAATTTCTCCGGGTGGTGGTGTCCATGTTGAGACTAAAGTATAGTTGGAGTGGTTGTAACAAACTGTAAAGCAAAATACAATCGAATCACCAACCACATTTTATTTTACAACACACGATCAAATCATTCTATTGTATTTTGCCTTACCAGAGATGTGTGGGGGTGAATTACTAAACAGCTTCTGTAGGATGGGCAAAATATTTTATTAACAAAAACTAAACAATATATTTGAACCCACCTACCTATATACATAGTGTCACGATCAGTGGTGACAGACATTTAAACGAGTAAACAGTGTTCGACTACGGACAAGGAAACCTGAAAACAAAATCCATCATAAGTTTTCCAACGATAAATTATTTGTACTTAAAACAAATCATACCATACCAATCACCACAAAAAGTAGGATGACCATCAATAAGACCACTTGAATCCACAAGAAATAAGTTTGAGGAGAAATGTCTACTTGATTCCAGTCAACAACTTTAGAACAGTCATAAGAAGTATAATTATTCCAAATAAATCTATTAGGAGAGTTTTCAATTTTAGGACAGTAATCTGAACTACAAGTAAAGTCAACTATAACCTTTGTAAGTTGAAAAGAATCGTCTACTTATACATCTATAATCCGGTGTACTTAACGCAAACCACACGGATTTAATAAATACAGTCTCACCATACTCAATACAGGACAGACACTGATCAACAATGGTTGCATTATTATTATTATTATTATTATTAGTATTATTATTGATAGCAAAAGAAAACAGAAATAATTGAGTAAAAATAAAAAGTTGGAAAAATTTATCCATTTATGTCACGTTGGAGTTGTGCGATTCCCAGTTTTACACGTTGGACAAGGATTTGGAGAAGATGTTGTAGCTCATGACAACTGAACCATATTCGTTGTCCAGCATCACTACCTCGCTTCTTTAACAGAGCAAAAAGTTGTGCGCTGTTAATTTCCGAATGAGAACGTCAATCGATCC